TGGTAACCAAAAAAGTGATAGACCAACCTATTGTCAACCTTGAATCTCTAAAACAAGTCATATTAAATTTTTTTAATGCTTCTACTGCCTTATCTGTTGCTCTAGGTACTAAACCATGGTGTTTTGATTCTTGTTGTTATAATCACATGTCTTCAACTACTGCTCATTTCTCTTCAATGTCATCAAATAATTTCTTTCTTGACATTTATTCTACTAATAGCTCTCCTATGAATATTAGTCACATTGGCAATATTTCTACAAATTCATTGACTTTACTAAATGCTCTCTTGGTTCCAAACTTAATTATAATCTTTTATCTGTAGGTTAATTATGTGATATTGGTCTTGAAGTAACATTGTTTACTCATGGTTGTCATGTGCATGACCTGTAAACAAGACAACTTCTTGGAACTGGTTGCAAGGTGGGGCATATGTTTGAACTCAACTATCTGCATATTTCTCATCATAAAATGAATACAACATCATTCCCAAATGAACGATTTATCCAAACCCTACTTTGTGCTATTGAATTAGAGTCTTCGCAAATTCCATATCAACAAATTTTCCAAGCTTGTGCTGCTACTAACATTTCTCATTTTCATTTGTGGCACTCATGACTTGGGCATACCTCAATCAGTAAACTTCGTCCTCTTGTCTCTCGTGGTTTATTAGGATTTGTCCCAATGAACCTTGCATTGTGTGTCATATCAATTTGCAAAACAACCAACTTTATCTTTATTTAGTAGTCATTCTCTTTCTGTTGCTTCTTCTGATCTCGTATATTCTAATGTTTAGGGTCCATCTTCGACACCTATCATAAGGGATTTTAGGTATTTTGTGTTATTTATTGATGGTCATACTTGTTTTACCTGTATATATTTTATGCAAAATTGTTTTGAATTACCACAACTTTATATTGACTTTGTCACCATGATCAAAACCCAATTCCCTAAAATTATCAAAGTTTTAAGAACTAATAATGCCACTGAATATCTTAGTACTAAACTTTAATCATTTCTTAAAAAATAGGGTATACTAACACAACAATCTTGTCCTTACACTTTTGAAAAGAATGGGCTAGTCAAACGCAAACACAAGCATATCCTTGATTCTGTTCGTGCTATGCTCATTTCGTCTTCTTGTCTAGAGTGATTTTAGGGTGAAACTGCTCTTATAATTGTTTATCTCATTAATCAAATTCCATCATCAATCATCAATAATAAGTCTCCATATGAATGTTCACATGGTATTCCTCCTACCTATGATTGTTTTTGGTTGGGCTTATTTTGTTCTTCTTCCACCTCATGAACATAACAAGCTAGAGTCTAAAGCTTGATTATGTTTTTTTTTTTTTTGGGTAATGGAATTACATATAAAGGATATTATTGTTGGGATCCTGTGTCACAAAAACTTCAAGTCTCGCTTCATGTTGTCTTTTGGCAACATACTATGTTTTCCTCATTATAAAACTTCTAGGTGTCATCTTTTGATCAACCTCCACTTTTTAATAACCTTTGTATTGAGCTATTTCCTAGTAACTCTGATGTAGATACATTTGATGAGCTCCATGATGCCTCCCCACATGCTCTACCTAGTTCTATAGAAGATGCTTTACCTATTGGTAATGCATTAGACAATACCAAGTCTTCTCCCTTGCTTCTTGTGTATCACAGTTGGATCTAACCTTATTGATATTGAGCCTGAAAATGAGATCCTTAATCCACCGTCAAGTCGTTATACTCAAATAAGAAATCCTTTTTGCTATCTTCGTGATTATAATTGTTTTCCTACTATTGCCTCCTTACATGAGCCTTAATCGTATCAAGAGGCCTCTTTTAACCCTCTTTGGTAGCAAGCTATATAAGATGAATTACAAGGTTTTGAAAAAACTCATACATGGGACTTAGTTGATCTTCTTGCTGGAAAGCATCTAGTAGATTATAAATGGGTATACAAGATCAAAACTTGGTCTGATGGTTCCGTGGAGTGTTATAAGGCTTGTTTGGTTGCAAAAGGATTTACTCAAGAATATGGGATTGATTGTGAGGAAACCTTTACACCTGTTGCTTGTCCTACTTCAGTTCATAGTTTGATTGTTATTATTGCCATAACAAGATGGAAATTGTTTCAGATGTATGTAAAAAATGCCTTTCTAAATGGTGATCTTGTAAAGGAAGTTTACATGAAACCACTTTTGGGCTTGAGCATCCTCCAAACAAAGTTTGCCAACTGAAGCGAGCTCTGTATAGTTTGAAGTAAACACCTCAAGCTTGGTTTGCTAAGTTTAGTGCCACCATCAGTGAATTTGGTTTTATTTATAGTCCTTATGATATTGTGCTTTTCATATGCAAGACTAATCATGGTTTGGTTTTATTGCTTCTATATGTTGATGATATGATCATTACTAGGATGATATTTTACGTATTCATGATCTTAAGCAATTTCTCAATCATAAGTTTGAGATGAAAGATCTTGATGTTTTGAGCTATTTCTTGGGACTTGAGATCACATTTTTTGAAGATGGTTATCTTTTCTCCCAGACAAAATATGCTTATGATCTTATATCTAAAGCTAGACTCGCTGGTAGTAAGACTACATCTACTCCTCATGAGCCAAACATTCGACTTATACCCATGATTGTTTCTCCATCAACTGATTCTACTTGCTATAAACAGTTGGTTGGTAGTTTAATTTATTTTACTATAACATGACTAGACATAGTTTATATAGTTCCTGTTGTTAGCCAGTTTATGGCTACGCCTCACTCCACTCACTATATAATAGTACTTCGCATTATTCGCTATATTAAAGGTACCATTTTTCATGGACTTCCTCATTTATCTCTTGAGCTTCATGCTTGCTCTGACATTGACTGGGCTGAAGACTCTAATGATCGTAAATCCACCATTGGATATTGTCTTTTTCTTAGTGATTCCTTGATCTCTTGGCATAGCAAGAAGTAGATAGTTCCATCACGTTTTAGCACAGAGACTGAATATCGAGCACTCAGAGACACCACATTAGAGTTACTTAATTTATGTTGGTTACTAGAAGATATGAGTGTTCCACAATCGCCTACTACTAATATTTATTGTAATAATCATAGTTTCATGTAAATTGCTTATAATGATGTCTTTTATGAACACACTAAACACATTAAGGTTGACTATCACTTTGTTTGCCATCATGTTGCACAAGGAATTGTTTATTTGGTTTTCATTGGCTCTATTGATCAATCAATAAACCTTTTCACCAAGGTTCATTTCCCTAGTCACTTTCATATTCTTTTTTCCAAACTCAAGTTAGTTTCATCACAACCACCTTAAGTTTAAGGGGATGTTAAGATGTAAACATAATATTTGACAATCAACTATTTAGATCATATTCACACTATTCACATTTATTATAAATATTTTATATTTTAGAATATTTTCCTTGTAAACTTTATATTTTAAAATATTCTCTTTATAAATTTTATATATTAGAATGTTTTCTTTATAAACACTTATTTATAAATTATTACATATACAATATTATTTAAGAAAATAATAAACCTTTCTTCAAATATTTATTCTTCTTTTTCTGTTTCTAACAATAGCTGTGCTTGTTTTGTAATCTTGAGTTGAGGTAAGAGATCTTTGATGTAAGAGATGGTCCGAAACACTTCTTATACTCTTAAGTAATGGTAAGTTTTTTGACCTACTTAAAACACTCAAGTCGAGTAAAAATGAACGTGTATAGTAGTGTAAGGATTTTTTAACACGTATATAATGTAAGTTTTAAGAAACTATAATGTGAATTTTTAACCACATATTTTTAAAATATAAGAGATTAGTTTGAAAATAAGTGATTGATAATTGGTGTAGCTCTTACACCACTATAAGTTGATCTAACAATTATTCCCTCCATTCCACAATTCATTGCATTTTAAAAAAACATATTTTGATTTTATTTTCATATTAAAGATTTAGAAATAATTTTTATTGAGATTAGTATATAGTAGCCGTGATACGTAAAAAAAAATTAGAGTTCTAATTTATATTTATAAAATGAAATCTCAATTTAAAATTCAAAATCTAATGAATATTTAAATTTAAATATCAATATTTAATAAAATAAATTTTTTTAAATTTAATTTAAATTTCAATTAAATAAAATAACATAGTTTAAGGTTACTATTCTAATTTTTTTAAGAGTTGAGACTTTATATGTATTTTTTTATTTTTACTTCTATCTATTTTATTTTAAAAAATAAAAAGAAAGATGTTTTTATGGGAAGATAGATAATTAAAATAAAAGATTAAATAGGAAAAATATTTTTCTCTCTTAAAATATAAAAAATGACTGTTATTCGAAAACAAATTTTAAATAAAAAAATCTATTATTCTATATAAGAGGGAGTAAAAATTAATTGCTTAATAAAAATTTAATATTTTTATTTCAAAATAATTTTCATATTTGTAATTTTGAATTTATCTTAAATTAATTGACTTGTTTTTTTTTTAAAGATAAATAAATACTACATCTATTCATTTTTAATAGTTCAAGTTTAATTTTTTAATTTTTTGAATATAAATTCATATAAAAATTTAATCTATTATATAAATGATAATCAAAAATTTTTTATCAAATAAAAATATTCCATAAGAACTTCATATAAGCAAAAAAAATTTAATT